AATACTAACACCAACAAAACGAAGTACATGAAAATAAGCGCACAACCGCAAATCCTTCAACCACTTATTATTTCGACGTCATCGAAACAGTTAACGAAGTTGTAGACCGCAGAACGTTGTAATGAATCAATCTCCTGGGAAAGAAGTCTAACTGATTCTGATGGAAACATCATCTTGGACAAACAGATTAAAGTAAAAACTTGGAAAGAATACCTAGAGAAACTGTTTGAAGACCAAAGAGATAACACATTTTAGCTAGAAGAGGAGGTAAAGTATCGGCAAAAATATTGCATCAGGAAGTTCATTCCGCAATATCACAGCTAAAGGGTGGTAAAGCAGCAGGTCTCGATAATATACAAGCAGAACTACTCAAACTAATAGACAAAGAATCAATAGCAGTAATCACAAATATACTCAATAACATATTCAACTCTGGAGAAATACTAACAGAATGCAACTTTGGACGAAACTAAAAAAGGCACTCTACTATACGGATAATGGCTAAACAACATTAGCAGATGCATCATTTTATCCATAGTTTACCCGAAAAAAAAAAACAAGTGTAACACTAGCGCACTCTATTAGCAATGATAAATTAGACTCTAAATTAGCAATCCTCATGACAAAAAAACGTAAAATTGTCAATTTTAAAACAGAAATATGAAAATATACATACTTATTTCAGAAACTATCAATATTTGTATAATCACCCTGTATATATACATATACATAATTATATATATATATTGTTACACTTGAAAATTAACTTGATTGAAAACCAACATTATTACAATACTTTTAACTAACTGACAACTATAAACTTCAACATTCAAAATACAACTGTTCCACCAACTGTCAAAAACATCTGTAATATATATATATATATATATATATATATATATATATATATATATATATTTACTAAAGTTCCAAACTTCACTAGACATTTCAAGAATTTTCGATGTCATGTTGAATATTACTACTTTTTCTGTTTCGTCAATGGACTTTTCCTATGTGGGATAAATCTTTCGTAACAATATATATATATATATATATATATATATATATATATATATATATATATATATATATATATACACGGATATATTGGGTTTAGTAGTCAATATATTGGCCTTTAAGTAAAACTCTTGTAGGTTTGCTAAGCTTTCAAGTTTATTTTACTGTTTTTCAAAATATACTAAAAATTAACATAAAAAATTTACTATGATCAAACAGAAATATTGAGAAGGGAAAGAAATTACAACAAAAGACTGTTTCTAGAAATGTGTTTAATTAAAACTACACAAAACACCTTAAACAAAAGAGAATCATTGAAAATCTTAGTGCTATATACAGTAATCTTCTTTTAAATAAAAGAATAACAATATAAAAGTTCTTAAAAGTTACGCATATGAAAGGGATTATTCCAAGTTCAAATGAGATAAAATTTATTTTTATTTGTATTTTTTCTTTCTTAAATACTTAGTAACATAAACTCTGTTGCTTGTTTAATAACTGTAATATTATATCAAAATTTGCAATGAAGGTTTGCATAAAAATAGACACTTCCTCTGTCAAACTCACCTAAAATAAATATAAAAAATAGAAGAGATATGGAAACCTTAGTAATAAGTTTTGACAGAAATAAAAAGTAAATCAAATTTAATGTCATTATGTTAATGACATAATGACAAAATGTAAAATTTTGCTAATTTTTAAAGACAATTCTCACAAGGGTAAGCCTATTGAAGACATAAGAACTTCATTTTTCTAATGTAAATTTTTTATGTTAATTTTTAGTATGTTTTGAAAAAGAGTAAAATAAACTCGAAAGCTTAGCAAACCTAAAAGAGTTTTACTTAAAGGCCAATATATTGACTACTAAACCCAATATATCCGTATATATTACTCACATAGTCACTAAAGCCCTTTCTAAGAATATATATATATATATATATATATATATATATATATATATATATATATATATATATATACTAGACCCCAATGCACAATGTCCAATGCCAACGAGGCAGAGGAGGGCCGCGAAAGAGACGGAGAGACATTTTTAACGAGGGTATATAATTAGGCCAACATTTATTATTACATATATTTACGAGACAACATCGGATTGGAGAAAAAAATTCAGAGATTGAAAAGTGTAGAATAAACTTCCTACTGCTAGGACATATCGGTAACTACACAAAATAAGAAAAGAAAGTTGATTATAATAATATCAACCAATTCATTGTTAAGCAAAAAATAAAATCAAAACGTTTTAGAATCATTGCTAAACAATTTATTAATTTACATTAAAATCCGTTTTACCCAAAAGGAGGAATTTATTGATAAAATATTTAAACCGGAATATTTAATGACAATTAATGACCATTTAGCAAAATTACCTAAACCTACAATTTGTTTGCTAATTAGAAAGTGTAATCTTATCTGTTTGTTATTTTATCTATAGTTTCCAAGCTCCTCTTGGGCATTAATACACAAATAAGTTCACTATTTATTATTCAAGTTTGATTTGTTTTATATAAGTACCTGGATATAATTAAGGAGTCATTAATATTTTTAACAACATTTATAAATAGATAATTACCATTTTTACCGTAGGTAATAATTATTGTTCATTGGGATTTTCTCTAATATATTAAATAAAAGCAATTACAATTAAATATATACAAATGACTCTAGGAATAGCCCACTGTAAAATTTATTCTGTTCAGAAAAATGTGACAAAATAGAATTAATAAAAATAAATGTTTTTTGATAAGCTCTGTTTTTAATTCTTAATAAATACTTTACTTATACTACTGAAATATACTGGATTCTTTTGAAAATATATCAGTAATTTTCATCAGAAGATACACTCAGAAGAAATGAAGATCTGTAGAGGAGTTAGATAGGGATGTGTTTTATCGCCACTTTTGTTTACGTTAACGGAAAATTAATTAACAACTTACGATATGCAGACGAAACTGTGATCATAGCAACGAGTATAGAGGATCTACAACATCTTATCGAAAGCTTGAGTATGAATAGTGCTGAGATGAGAATTACTATAAACGCTAAAAAAACGAAGTACATGCTAATTACAAAAAGACCACAATATATACATCACCTATTGACAATCAATGGTAACGTGATAGAACAAGTAGAAAAATATCAGTACTTGGGAACTTTAATCAATGAAACCAATGATCATACTGTAGAAAAAACAGGCGAATAGAGATTGCCCGATCAGCATTTATATGAATGAAGCCACTCCTGAGGTGCAAAAAATCTAGATTTGGATATCAGACTACGTACCATTCGCTGTTATATATTTTCAATATTATTATATGGAGCTGAGACTTGGACATTAAAAAAATGCAATTTAAAAAGAATCGTGGCTTTCGAACTCTGGTTATACCAAAGAGTATTAAAAATATCATGGACTGAATTACAAATAAAGAAGTACTGGGAGGGTTGGTAAAGAAACAGAACTAATCACCACTATACAAATCAGAAAACGGCAATACCTGGGCCACGTGATGAGTTGACCAAAATATGAAATTTTGAGACATACAGGGAAAAATTCAAGGAAGAAGATCTGTTGGCCGAAGGCAGAACTCATGGTTAAAGAATCTACGTGATTGAGATCAATGCAGATCGATTGATTTGTTTAGAGCAGCAAGTTCTAAAATAAAAATAGCCATTATCATTGCCAACCTCCGTAGGGAGACAACACTCTAAGAAGAAAGAATCTATTCTGGGTGAGTTGTATTTGGATAGTTTTTTAACTGCATCTTTTTACTTCAAAAATCGTTGGTAGTTCTTCTTCCCTCTCGTCTGTTCCGTTTGCCTCACATCTTTCGTCTTATAGGTTTTCTTCTTCTTCCTCTATATTAAGTGCCCAATTAAAGTATTCCACCCATCGATTCAATACATATTTTCTTGTTATTAATAGGTCACCATTCGGACTTCTGCATTGGTTTGTAGTTGCCTTGTATTCTTTTCTGTTGAGGTCAACTTTCTGATAGAATTATTTGAATTCTTTCTTTCTATTAAGGTTTTAATAAACCTTTTGGAGGAAAAAAGAACTATACAAGAGAGCAAAATTACTTTTTTTATAGACATATCGCACTGCCAGTATTATACAGGCGAGACAAACAAAACACGACAGCAAAATAATTGCTGTGGAAATGAAGTTCTTAAGGAATACATTACAAAGACAAAACGAACAAAGACAGAATAAGAAAGGAAATAATTGGAGAGAATTTAAACCAAGAAGAGTTATTAAAAGAAAACAATTGGGGTGGCATGGCCATATACCCAGGGTAGGGTAAAGTAGATTGGCCAAAAGAGTTGTTTGTGAAGCAAAAAGAGGAGTAGATGCGGCAGGCATAAAAACAACGAGCATAGTAGATATAAGAGATCGGAAAGAAAAGGAGAAAACTAATAAAAGAAATTAAACATTCATCAAGGCACAGAAAAAAAAAAGAATAAATGAATAAAGAAATAGATATATCCATTCCGGCGCCTTTTATAAGTATAATGAAAAGCTGAAAGACAGAACATTTGAACTTTTAAAGGGGTTATACCTAAAAAAAAAATTATTTTTTTAAAATTTTAAATAAAATAAATTTGCCATTCATTGTGACTGATTAATAATACCGTGCAAATTGTGAATAATAAATTTAATACTGAAGGTTAAAAACAAATAATATAAACACATGCTTTGTTTATTTAATATTGCATTAAGCACTGACGGTTTATTGAACTTACTTATTAATTTTTTTTAATAACAAGCTCTGCTGGATTTTTTTCAACAAATTTTCTGTTCATCCAACAACAATATTAAGTCTCACTTGCTTGTTTATCTTCAAAAACTTAATAATTCTATTGCTACACTGATTAAAAAATGTTATGAATTTTATATATTTTAAAGTACATAAAATGTTTGTTGATGATAACTTCTTTACGATAATTTTAAGTAAATCTATATCTACCTTCATAAGGTCCTCTGCAATTTGCATAAAAAGTTTCTCAACATTGTCTGACTCTTTTGCAGATGTTTCCAAGTAATACATATTGTGCCTTTCAGCAAATTCTTCACCTACATGGGCAGGAATCTCTCTATCTTCCCTATCTATTTTATTACCTACAAAAATAATCATTAATCAACAACTAGTAACTAACAAAAGGAAAGATGAAGTAAATTTAAAAGAATTTATCTTTGTTTAGCATTTTTTATACAATACAATAAACTAAAAAATATTAAAATCCTTTATTAAAGGTATATAGGGTATATTAAAGGTATATAAGTATAAAGGTATATAAAAAATTACGATTTATTATACAATTATGGCGATTTAAACAAAAATGATGGAGTTATTATTTACATTAAATCTTCTATAAAATATCAATATTCAGTTGTACCATTGGTACCAGTCTAGTTGGTGATATCAATATTAATTTGTTTGAGGATCTAGATCACACTGAAGAATACCAGAATATTCTAGCTTCACAAAATTTTTTGTCTTATATAAATAAAACAACTAGACCTAGAAGTCAAACTTGTATAGACCATTTCTTTATAAAAAGACCTGCTGATTACACTAACATAACTTCATTTATATTTGAAAATAATACTACTTCAGATCATTATCCAATCGCAGTTTCCATTCCTAATCTAACCAAACCCAAAGAAAACAAAATAATAATAAAGAAGTACATCAACTACAAAAATCTAAAAAACAATTTGAAGCAGGAAAAGTGGTTGGATATTTACAATAAAACAAATAAAAATGAAGCGGTAAAACTTTTCATTGACAAAATTTTAAATTTAAGAAACAAAAATACAATTATTTTAAAAGGAAATGATCTAAAAACCACTTTTAAAAAAGATTGGATGACAGGGGGACTTTTAAAGTCTGTACAGGAAAAACACAGATTGTATGATCAGCTAATCCAAGATCCCTCAGATAAGTGAAAAAAACAACGATATAAAGACTATAAAAATAAATTAAGACACTTAGTTAAAACTGCAAAAAGAAATTATATAAAACAACGAATTGAAAAAAATAAGACCTCTTCTTCATCACTTTGGAATGTAATTAATTCATTGTGTGGAAAAATAAAAGGAAATACAAAAATTGAATCGATTAAAACCAAAACAGGAGAAAAAATAATTGACAGAAAAGAAATTGCAAATGAATTTAATACACATTACAGTACATTGGGACAAAGGTATGCACAAAAAATACCCATTTGTAATGAACAGATTGAGGACATAGATAGGATAGAAAGCAGCATGTACTTGTATCTCGTTGACCAAAAAGAAGTGGTAAATGCAATACAATCTTTAAAACACAAAAAATCTCCTGGCTGGGATGGGATCAAGACAGAAACCATCAAACAAATTAAGGAAGAAATTATTACTCCTTTAACTTTTCTCATTAATGCATGTTTTCAGGATGGTTGTTTTCCAGAATGTCTAGGCAAAATCAAACCTCTGTTTAAAAAAGGAAATAAAGAAGACGTGATTAATTACAGACCAGTATCTTTGTTGTCTGTTTTTTCCAAAATATTTGAAAAGATTTTAAAAAATAGATTAGTGAGTTTTTTGGATAGGTTCAGTATAATATCGGATTGTCAATACGGTTTTAGAGAAAGAAAATCTACACAAGATGCTATTTGTAAACTAACATCACAAATATCAGAAGCTTTTGAGTCTAATAAACGTAGTTTATGCATATTTGTCGATCTTTTTAAGGCGTTTGACACGATATCTCACGGGATCTTGTTAGAGAAACTTGAGAAGTATGGTCTGAGAGGACGCGTTTTGACATTACTAAAAAGTTACTTAACAGACAGAAAACAATTTGTAGAAATTGATGGTGTCGAAAGTGATCCTGAAGTAATTAATTATGGCGTACCGCAAGGGACCGTTTTAGGCCCTCTACTCTTTACACTCTATGTTAATGACATGCTTAAACTAAAAACTGATGGAATCATAATAAGCTTTGCTGATGACACAGCAAAACTGGGAAGATCTTAAAACTATAGTTGAACAAGACTTCAAAGTTATAAAAACATGGTTGCAAATAAATAAACTCACAATAAATTACGAAAAAACTAAATATATACCTTTTGCAATATATAACAATTCTCTGCCAACTTTTAACTCATTAAAAATAAATAAAAAACAACAAATATTTAAAGCAGAATACATAAAATATTTAGGAGTTTTAATTGACAGGCACCTTAAATGGGACTTACAAATAAAAAATATTATAAGAAAAATACGAGGACTGTTACCAAAATTCCGCTATTTAAAAGAGTTTTTAGATGTTGAATATATGGAAAACGAAAAACATATCCCTCAGACCAACTCTTTCATGAAACTCAGGTTCTTGATGTTCGGCAATTGTACTGCTTAGAGCTACTTAAAAATATTCATAAAGATAAAATACCTCTTAAAGTAAAAGTGTCAAATTATGAAACAAGAAGAAAATTGAATGTTGAACGTCTTCACACTTCAAAAACAATCACGTAACGGTCAATTAAATATTTTGCTCCAAGAATATACAATCAATTGCCCATAAATTTTAAAAATATCAAAAATTTTTATTTGTATAAAAAATTAGTTAATGCTTGGGTAAAAGAAAAAAGGGAGTTGTGTAACAATTTATTAAATTTAAATTATACTAGATAAAAAAAAACGAAACAAATTAGATTAGACTAGAAACTGTAAAAGTGAAATAATAATTTGTAAAAAAAACATTAAACTTGTTAATATTAGACAGATTTAGTCAACAAGCATGTTAATGCTTTAAAGACTTTTTTTTACGTTTATGTTACTGTAAGTAAACTGAAATTGAAATTGTAAATTAATGTAATACTTATTGATTTGAATAAACGTATATTATTATTATATAATTAAAAAACCCAATCGGGCTATATCACAACAAAACGTTTCCGGAATCCATATTTCATTATCAGTGTCTAGGTATACATGTTTGAAGCCACTAAATATTTGGGTAAAAACCCCTTAAAAGTTATTGGTTTGAATTTATTTTACATGATTCGATCTTATATGTTAAGATGTTAAAGTTACCAGTTGATTTGATAACAGGCAACGTAAGACTCTATACGAGGTTGCTGGTCCTGAGACAAAGTGTCCAAATCCACTGGTAACCATTGCCGGTTTAACATGGTCTGCCGCCCGGTGCTGATACGGATACCGCGCCCAGGCTCAAAAATATTTCTTAACTTTATTTCAATTCAACACAACATATTTTGAATACAAGTTTATTAAAATAAGGAAAAAGATTACACATTATTTGGGTTTCAAACTTAAATGAATACTAACACAATACAAGAAAAAAATTAAGGGCGAACTTCAAAAAGTAAAATAAAAATGTACCTAATAACATTCATACAGGTAACCTGAGTTAGGTAATCAAATACCTTTACTATTGAAAAGCTTGTTTGCTTGCTTTCACTGAAGCGAAGTTTTCGATGATATCATTTACATTTAATTCATTTAGCAGGTTCTCGTTAATGGATAAAAGTGCTAAGAAGTTCAAATTTTCTTGGGAAATTGCATTTTTTAAGTAAGTCTTTACCCTTTTTAGTGTCGAAAGATAGCGTTCGCCACTTGAATTTGCGACCATTATGGAGAAAAAAACACGCAGCCAAATATTAACGTTTGGAAACGAAGATATTAAGTTATTTTCGTATAAAACCTGTACCAATTCTAAAGGAGTGTCTATTTTTAATTGGGGAAGAGACGTTAACAAATGCTTTAAATCAACACATTCTTGGGGAAAATACTCATTCAAATTTTTCTTGTATTTTTGTTGTAATTCGGTTGCCGATCTGAAAATATCTTTTTCTTCCGTAGTTTTTAGTTTAACCAAATATGCAAATGCTCTTGAATAATATTCTATACCTTGAACAATATATTGTGGTATACCAATTACAATTCAATAGACTATTTTATACCAATTTGTGGGTCTTACCTTGTCTGCTTAAATAGTTTATTCATTTTGAAAAACCACAGACATGTAATATTGGCATAATTACTGTAATTTATATTATTTATCTTTATAAGACAACACCCTAATATGGGTTTTATTATTTCAGGATTTAATTAACTTTGTATCGAGACCTGAAGATGCTGGCATATTGTAGAAAGTCTTATTTATTATTTCTTTTACCTATTTGAAATGGACTCACACAAGCAACACATTCATGATTCATGATTTTTTTACTAAAGATTCTTCTTTTTAAAACGTTTCTTTTAAGTGTAAAACTTACATCAACAGTTCAGTTTAGTTTTTTAGAACTCATTTTATAAGTATTATCATTGTGAAGATGAGTATTACTGATGTAAGAAAGAAAAGAGGGTTCAGTGCTCAGTTCTCGGTTCAGTTCAAAGCTTAATATTAATCAACAAAATGGTTGTTTTCTTTATTTTATTTACAATTTCGTAATACTTTCTTTCAAATTTCTATTCAGCAGCAGTTTTTGTTGATGTAGTTGTCACCTAGCTCTACAGACTGCTCAGTCAATGTTGAATACATCTATGTATACATTACAGTAGAAAATATTAGTAATCTTAAAATTAAATGTTTACAAAAGCCATGTGAAATACATTTTGGGTAAACTCTATTATTCAAAACATTCATATTTTACCCTTACTGAAGTTAGTTTCTCAAAGATAGGGTTCAATTCCCAATGTAATACCTGTAGATCTTTTTTGTCATTGAAAAATAAAAATGAATTAAATCACATGGCACTAGCCACTGGAGATTATTCTTACAGTGTCATGGCTGTTTTCAGGCATGGGCTATCGACACGAAAATTTCATTGAATTAATCCCTGTTCATTGCTGCATGGAACAATTAGTCTACTCCTTGTCTGGTCCAATGTTGTATGTTACAATGTCATAATTCTACAATTAATAGAGCTCATGACATATCTAATCAATTAAATAAATACTTTGCCCATGTAGGATACTCTCTAGCAAATAGCATACCACCTCCATTAAAATATATATTTGAATGATAATAAGTCTAGGAAAACCAAATTAGAGAGGTCATAAGAAAACTAAAAAAAGGAAAATCTCCTTGATTGTGGTGGCTGTGATAAATTTACACTGAATATTATAGAGAGTTTGCAGAGGAGCTCCTACTGATTATAACTAAATTAGTTAATCTCTCTCGTATTACTGGATTAATCCTAAACTCTATGAAATGGCGTTAATGTTATAGTACAAAGGAGGGTACTCAAAGCAACCTGGAAGTTATCAGCCAATATCGCTTTTAACAGTCATGTCAAAGATCTTGGAATCATGTGTAAATAACCAAATGGTACAATTCTTTGATTCATCCAGCTACTAGTTTAACCGGCATTACAGTTTTAGGCATGATTCAAGCACAGTCTCTGCTGCTATTGACTTAATTACAGATGTATACAACAAATTAGACAAAGGTTTACATTTTGTATTTGTATCATTGGAATTGTAAAAAGCTTTTGATACAGTTGACCATGACATACTTACTTTAGTGCTTGAACAATATGGGACAACTGAAATGGCTTTAGTTTGGTTGAGAAACTATTTGAGAGACAGAATACATGAAGTGCTATCTAACAATGTACCAAGCACAGCAGTAAAATTGCATGCAGATTTCCTCAAGGGTTTATATTAGAACCAACCCTTTTCCTGATTTATATACATTCATTATTCAATTTATGACTGCCAATAAAATCCCAGAAAATTAGAAACTGATGTAGAAAAGGACTTAATAGAAATACATTGGTGGCTTAAGTATCACAAACTCTCACATACTGTGATTAAGTGCAGTTATATGATAATTTCAAATGTAGATACACATAGGGAGATGCAGTTGAACTTCGGAAAATTCAAATTTTATAAAAAAGGAGATGATCAAGTATCTTGGATTATATATAGATAATCAACTTAATTGGGAACAACACCTATTATAGATATGTAATAAAATAGCTCCAATGCTAGGAAGAATTGCTAAATTTAAAAGTCTCCCTCGTCAATAAGCCCTCGTATTTTAAATTTAAAATATAATTATTTTAAACTTAAATTGTGGCTTATTCTCATTAAAAGTAATAATTGTATTAAAATGTCGCAAGAAAATATCTTCAGAATAATACTAAATAAGAATAAGAATGCTCAATATTGAATAAACATATATTAAGTATGCAAGTTTGTGTGGTAATTTATAAATATAAGTGTTCTCAAGTATGTTGGACATTGTATGTAACAATAGACATTTCTTTAAACATCAACTTCCAGAGGATTCTGTAGTGCACAGTGAAGGTACATGAGAAGGCTTTTTACTGTATTGAAATTTTTGGTTTTTGCTTTTTTCCTTAGTGGGATGACTTTGCCTTTGTCTATGATATATAACTAGATATATCTGCTTAACTCAGCACAGCTATAGTATAATAATTTACAATTTTAATACAAAGCAATAAAATCAATCAATAAAGGCTACAGATACACTAAATGTTGAGAGTAACTATGAATATACTACATAACTTGTAAACTGGACTTCACAGCATTGACATAAAGTGGCATCTGAGTGACATATAATACCAACAATGTACACAATCTATTAATATAGCTTTTTTTATAACAATAAACATAAATGTATAAATGTATACCTAAATACATTAATACCTAATCAAGTATAATTTATTAAATAAATACATTTTGTATAAACCCTATATAAACAAAAACTTGAAGTTTCACACTTGACTTTAATATTTTAATCAACCACCATACTATAAGAACAAACTCTTACCTACAAGAATTCTAAGTACTTTACTACTTGCATATTCTTCTATTTCCCTTAACCAATCTGGTAAACAATCAAAAGTTGGTTGAGATGATATATCATAGACTAATATTAGAGCATGTGCTGACCTATAATAACTTTGGGTAATTGATCTAAATCTTTCCTGGCCAGCAGTGTCCCAAATTTGAAGCTAAAAGATTGAAGAAATATTAAGTCTATATGAAAAATAAATAAGATGTAAAAAGTGGACTAGTCTATGAGAAATTTAAATGATAAGCTATTCTCCTAGACTTCTTTAGTGCCTCATAAGCTAGATGGAACATCAAACTAATACTAAAATAATAAAATCAAATATAAAATAACACCATTTAATCCATCCTTGGTCTAAAAAATACCTGGTCAAAACATACCAATAACTTATACCTAACCACTTACAACAAAAAATGATATTTGCAGTAGTCTTTACAGCTTGTCTTTGATATACACACAACCTAATTAGGTACATTCACTAGTCCTTGTTGTGTAACAAATGTAGTAACTTAAAACATTGGGCATTAAAAAACAACAAATGTTGCTAAGACTGATGTTGCATGAGGGTCAAAAGAATGTGACAAGTGAGCAACATTGTGAACAGAAATCTAAACAATTATTACTTGAAAAGATTGAGATGTTTAGGAGTTATCCAAAACTTTTTAACAAACATTTGGAAAATTCTAGCCAATTTCTTCTGAGAAGCTAGAAAGTAACTTTTTCATAATTCCAATGGTATTTCATCAAAATACCAAGTTAGGGTTTGCTGCTTTATTTACAATATCTGAAAAAATCTGTAATCTCTTCCATTCAATACAGATTACAGAAATAGTCAGTGGTGTAATACTTTTACAGCTGAAGAAATAGTAGGCAAAATTTCCCCACCTGACGTTCAAGGTACAACCTTCAGAAATATTATTTTTTGGAAACAAGATCCAACAAAGACAAAACCATTATAAAATATATTCTGGTAGGAAGCAAATAGAAAGAAAAATAGTAGGATAGCAGAGAGAACAAACTAAAATGTAAACATAAAAAAAATAAAGACAAAGAAATGATAAAGCCCTAAAGTAAACCTACAAGAATGGTTTTACAAGTAATGATCATTCATCATTTATTTATCAATGGGCAATTGCCCATTGATAAATAAATAATTGTATCAATTATTGATAAATTACAGAAGATTCTTAACATAATCTACTTGTAACTGTAACTGTAAAAACAATTAAAAATTTTAATCATACAAAAAAAAGGAACAGTAAGTAAATAGCAAACATTAACAAAGAATGTACAAAACACAAGGATATCAAGCTATTATACAGTTCTTAAGCTGAGCTTTAATTTTTTTTAGAATACTATAACAATCCAACCTTTGGGAATATTGATTTGCAAACCTTGGTGTTCTAGATGTGAAGGAATTGTGTCCATAGTTTATGCGATGATGTCTAACATAAAAGGGTTGGTTTAGCCTTGTTTGTCTACCAGGAACATAGAGATTAATTTTTTTCCAATAGTTGAGGCCAAAAATAATAAGAGTGCAGTATACTATAAAACATAGTGAGATCTTTGTGCTTGCATGGAATTTGGAGAGAAGTTATGTTGTGGGACCTATCCATTTGAATAGTTAATTTCTTCAATCCTCTGGTTTTGTTTAAATGCAACAAATCTTAAGACTTTGTGTTGAACTCTCTCAATAGTTTGAATATGGGTGTTCTAGTGAGGAGACCAAACACATGAACAGAAATCTAATTGGTGTCTCACAAGTGAACAATACAAAAATTTTATGGATGGGATATTTAAGTCTTTAACACAACATTTGATAAACCCTAAAAGTTAAAGTGATTTTGAGACAACAGATGAGATATGGGGGTGTAGGATAAGCTGGATTCGAGCATAACACCTAGGTCCTTTATCTGAGATACAGAGCCTAAAGGGTGAAGATCCTTCATTTTCTTAGGTTATCATTTGATTTCTATTTTCTACTCTTTTTTGCTTCATAGCTTTACTCAGCTAATATATCCATGAAGATGTTAATCTGCCTTGCTCCTTCTCACCATTATTCATTACTGTCAATCCCTAGCCAATCCTATAATATTCAATATCTGTTACTAATACTTTATATTTTTCTTCTTTATGTTCCATACCTTTGATGCATATATTATAAAACCTTTGACTATGAGGTTACTGTTCTGATTAACTGTTTTACAGTTATTCCTGCAAGCATCAGTCTGATTTTGTTTTGGTCTGTTGTAATCTCCTTAGATATAGTATATGTAAAATTGTTCTACATCGTAAGATCTATTATGCATCTTACTTTATAAAATATATGAACTTCTTACCTTAACTTTTTCATTCCCAACTTCCACTGTTTTGATCATAAAATCTACACCTATTGTTGCACCCTGTCCTGGTGGAAATAAGCCCTGAGTGAAACGTCTCACTAAACACGTCTTACCAACCCCTGCATTGCCCACTAATACAACTTTAAATAAAAATTTATAGTCATCCATGTTTTTGATGTATTAATTTATTAGAACATACACTCCTTTGTCTACACACTACACTTTCATTATTTTGGTATCATGTAATTAATAAAGGCAATTAGGCTTCCTGTTACTATTATGTATTATTGCTTTATATCCTCTTTTGAAATAATTTAGTGGTTCAATATTATAATTCTGAAATAAAAATTACGTCATTATGTAGGATGATTGATTTTTATACAATACAAAAATAAATTATAAATGTTACAATGTCATACTTTTATTTTAATAGAATTATTAAATTCGCAGGTTGACTGATATTGTACACTTTTGATATGTAATTAATTATTTTTTCAATTTTTTAACTATTGATTGAATGATAGTTTTTATTATGGCACCTGTCAAGATCATAGATGACATTTTATGAAGAGAAGAAATTTATGTTATATTTGAACTACCATAAAAAACTCATCCCATGTCATCTGCATATATTCTGTTTACCCACAAAATAAGAGATCATTCTTGCCTGTTCCATGGTTTTTAACCATAGACATCCATATTTTTACCAGTTTTTAACCTCATTTAAATAAAAAATATAACGGACGGCGATATCAACCGAAAGAGGCGGCACGGTGCGGTAAAAATTTGAAGTAGTGCCAGAGAACTAGACAGTAGAGAACTACGAACGCAGTGTACTGTGGTGTGAGTGTGTTCGTAGTTCTCTGGTAGTGCACGTAGGATAACAAAACATTTTGCCACAGACAAACTCAATGACGTATAATATATAGACTACGCAGTCCCCTATTCTCGCTATAAAATCAAGTGTCCGAAAGATCTCGGCTCAAGGTTGAAGGTATGTTTATCACAACAGCGGCGTGCTCATTTATATGTTAATGACAATAATTATTTTTTTAATTAAAATTAAATATTTATGATTTCTTTTTGTTCCCGTCTATAAGAGAAATAATTATTTTGATAAAATAGTATGGCATTTTACTAAAATAGTAAGTAAATAACTCTCAACAATTTAAAATAAAATTTGCTTGTCACACAAAATGGAGAAAATGTTTTCATACGTCCATGATGTTTTCAAACACAAGATCAACTTCGTGATGCTTCGTAAGAAATCATGAACTTCGTGCATCTTCGTATCAAAACAATAAACAATAATAAAGGTATTCATGTTTTGGACACTTTTTAAAGCGTTTACCGAGTCTATATATTATACGTCATTGGACAAACTGTGGTGTACTTAAGACAGTTTTACATTATGCTATTTTCATGCTAGGCAAGAGCCATGCAAGACAGATCATGGATCTGCGCATGCCCACGGGCTATTTCCATGCAATTCCTGTGCTAGACGAAAAATTAAAACATGTTCTATTTTTCATGCAATTTTCTTGCAATTTATCGTTAAAATTCATGTTGCCAACATAAGAATTTATAATAGATTAAAGAATAAAACATAACCTTATTAAATAATAAGGTATATTATAAATTAAGTTTATTAAGTGGTGATAAATAGATATACTATGTCTAAAGTTAAAGTAAAAACGACTGGGTGAGTCGTTGACTATGGATGATTATTGCTACAACCGCAATATTCAACAATAACAATGTTTTCTTTTCTTTGGTTGACATCCTTCACCCTTTTAATAACCATAAATAGTGTATTATTTATTTATTATATTATTTATTTTAGTATTTTATATTTATTTAAAATATTTTAAATATTTAAAATATATTAAATTTTATATTTATTTAAAATAAAATAACCTCAAATTGATACATATTTTCTCTGTTGGCAACAATGAAAGTGGGATCTAAAATTGCACAGAAATATCTCTGATGTAAAAAGGTCAAGCTAGGCAAGAGATGTGCCATGCAAGACGGACTTGCATAGCATGAGACTTGCATAGCCTAGATGTAAAGCTGCCTTTACATATCTCTGGGTTGTACGATATTGATTACTCGATTACCGCACGGTTAGAGAACTACGAGCACGGTCGAGATAATCAACAAAAAAAGAAGATGTATTTGATGACTTTTCTAGTAACTTTCTTGGTTGTGAATCTGTCTTTTTGGTTTACTCCTCCTTTGGTTAAAAAACAGAGTTTAGAAGCTGTGTTGGCAATGTCCGGATAATTATCCGATTTTCGGATAATTTCGTGGACCATCGGATAATTTTCGAATTGAACATTTTTTTGGATAATTTCGGATAATTCAAGGGTCTATCGACTTTTTATTTTTAAATATAATTTAAATTTTTATAAGCTTAAATAGCTAAATTTGCGAATGTACATAGAACTGCAAATTCTATTCTCATATAATCGAAGATGATGAAACCTATGAGTTATTTCAGCACCCTCTATTGATAAATAGTATAGTTTTGGTTGACTGTTTTACTAAACAAAAATCCAGCGATCTTTGAAATTGACAAAACAAAAATCGAATTTCATTTCAATCCAAGTCTAAAAAGGTCGCAGTAGTCAAGTAATTCCCCTGTGGCACTTTCTCTATACTTTGCCGATTATGTATGTAAACAATAAGTATTTTTAATATAGGTTTTAAGAGTTAATAATTTGTTAATTTGTTGTATTTATGTATTATTTGTTGTTTTTTATTTAAATAAATATATTTCTATCAAACTAAACTTGTTTTCTTGTTATCATTTGTCATATTAATTGTCATTTGTCATCTACCAATGTGTCACTGTCAACTGTCCATGTCAATTATGCCATTGAATTAGTCTTCTTTTTCGATTTTTATGAACTCGGATAATTTCGGATATTTGGTTTCTAACATTCGGATATTTTGCTCCCAACATTCGGATAATTTCTAGTTTTGCATTGGCAACACTGTTTAGAAGACCTATACATATAAATTTATAATTGTTGCTTTGAGGCAATTATTAAAAAAAATCTACATTTTGTATTTGTAAAAACGTTAGAATATTAGGCAACAGCACGATGTACTTTCATCAGAGAACTACGAACTTTCATGTTCCATGGCGGTTATATTTGCTGATATCCAACAAAGTAACAGAAGTTTGGAAAATAATTAAATATTTTTGTATCATACAATAATATAAAGCGGAACTTGAACTTGGTTTTAAAAATAAGTCATTGTTTGAGAAATAAATGGAAATTCCTAGTTTACTTTCTAATGTTCTAATTGGTGGATTTTCTCCTCCTCAGTGAGTACAGTATACATTTAATGTACGCATGCGCGCGCGGACAATGATATATGACGTAAGTGAAATTCCCCAAACAATCGACATTCGATAGTCTGGCAGTTCGCCATTTTGTACTGTGGAAGTGAGTGATGCGTATGAAGTGATTTATACAAAGTTTTCGTTCATATAGTGCAAGTTATGAAGTGTTTTACCTGTAAAAGAAAACTATTAACGTTAGCAATGTTCAAATAAATTTTAGAATTTAGGTAAGTACTTTAATTTCTCTTTACCAACAAAATTAGTTTTTATCACATTGTTCCATACGCTTTCGCTACATTAATACAAGTCATTTAATACATTTATTGGTTCCTGATGTTTTTATTAGTCTTATTTGCAGTTCTCTTTAGTTAACAAGCTACAGGCCCATTTGCACATGTCCATTTGCATTCTCAGTTTATGTGTATGGTATTTTTGTTTTATTTAATTTTACAGTTTTTTTTTTATCTAAAATTAGTCAATTATTCCAAAAGTTTTGATATTTTAAAACAATCGGTTACTCTGGCAATATTTCACAATAATAAATTTATTTTGGTAGTCCTCTAATATTTGGGATACATTTCTTCATATCATTTCATCAAAGGCCACGCTTCCGCCCTTTCCTATTTTTGCACCAAGTAAAACTTTGTTTTTTTTATTTATATATTTATACAATATTTAAACAAAACTGTTTTAGACACGCCCTGAATATTCTTTGATTAATAACATAAATCATAACATATATTTTATCTCTAGATTTTCATTTATAAACTAAGGCTTCATTCTTACATGTGTTTACTTACAGTTTTCTTTCTTCTTATTACAGCATATTCGCTGGTCCAATTGGATGGTTATCTGTGATATTTAACATATAAAAAAAAAGATTACAAGATGAGTTCCTCACAGGAGATAAAGGCTGAGTACATGTCCAGTTTGGCAGACCTTACCTTCAACAGTAGGCCATTGATAAATGTGCTTACCATGTTGGCAGAAGAAAACTCACCTAATGCCCCTGTTATTGTTGAAGCAATTGAAGAACATCTCGCAAAGGTTATATTTTTTTATTGTTATTAACTAAAATGTGGGGCTCATAATAAAGTAACTTCAGTAAGGGGAATTTTCAAATACCTCGTTAATTTTAAAACAGTAGTATGGTTTATTGTGTAGTAATGATAAAGTTACTATATTGAATCATAACTAACATATTATTCTAACAATACAATTTATTTGCTGTAGATTGAAATTAACCAGAGATTCCAACACCAAGATATCTCACTTTTAACAGTTATGGTTCTAGCTGGTTCACTTTTGCAAAATCAATAACGTTATACATTGATTTTGATTTAAATTTATTTTTTGAGTCAAATCATCCAATCTGCGTAATCTTTCCCATTTTAATTACCTTATGGGGAAGGTGGATGATACGCTGTTATAAGTGCTTTGTATGCTTTTTATTGATTATTTAAATATCTCCTATTTCATCAAATTCTATCAAGGTTATTTAGCATTTTTCTTCGTGATGAACTAACACATAAACCATATATTTGTATATTATATATTATACTATATCTCCCTTATAATTAATTTGAAGGTACATTATGGGCCTATACACATTATTAAAAGTGTCTTAAGATTATATGAAAGTTTCAATAAATGTTTTTAAAGTAAACAATGTATTTTTACATTGCTCATTCACATTTGTAGACAAAACTCCATGAAACTCCCTCAAGAAAAGTTTAGGATAATTCTGATGTTCACATTTCTTCAATCAAAGGTTCATATATTTTTAAATGTGGTTTGACTAATATTTTATAGT